ACACTGCCAATTCTCATTTATTAATCGACCCGCGTAAAACGCATCAGGACTGACCCGCGTAAAACGCATCAGGTTTAACAATATCCAACACTTCTTGGCCCGCGTAAAACGCAACAGGCCCAGTGTCTCTAGCCCGCGTAAAACGCATCAGACGCAACACCGATCTCCATATATGGATCGAATATCAGGTTGACCTTCTTCCGGTAATCCGGGCATCGTCCCGCGTAAAACGCATCAGGACGGGTTCAATACCCCGCGTAACACGCATCAGGGCTTATAGTGATCACACATATACACACACCAGATTTTATCTGAACCCCGCGTAAAACGCATCAGGGTGATTAGGTGATCACATGTTCATATCAGGCACGCATACTCGCACAATTCTTATATCAGGCCAATGCTCAGCATACGAAATACGTGTCTATGCAATTCCGGCACTCGGGCAATAATATGATCCACAATGAGCATTAAATTCCAACATAGGCACCTAATCAATTAATGCCAATTCAATGTGCGTCTCAACATGCTCAATACCACAAACTAACTTGCCCAATTAATCCAATAACTCAATTCAGCCACGATATGATCAACTCATAATTTAGCATGCTCAGAACATCACGTTGACATGCCCAATTGGTACAATTAGTTCGATTCGAACACGGCTCCCAATTGGCACACAATTTTCATGCGATTAGAACAATCCAAATACGCATACGCACGGACCGCCATGCCTCCTCATTCTCGGCCACACTAGGCATGCATCATGGCATCACAATAATAATCACCAATCAAGCACGAATCAACCACTAATCGGACAATATGAGGCATTTACGGCAATTATACGGTTAAGCCCAATTTAACCAACTTAGTCCAATTTAATCCAATAGGGACAGCCACAATTCAGGTCCGTCTAGGCCAATAATTTATCCTCAAAATATTTCATGAGGCTCCCCAAATCATCACCAAACCAGCCACTAACCAACAGCCCATTAATCAACCCTAAATCACCTTAATTAATCCATAAATTACCCTAAACCTATCTAGAAATGCTAATTAGCCTAATTAGGGTTTAGGGTTAATACTCACAAGGTTTCCTAAGCTCCTAAAGGTGGCTGATCGGAGGGGAAACGAGCGGTTGGTCACCGGCTCACGGCGGGGCTCCGGCGGTGCTTAGGCGGCGGCGGCAACGGGCGATTCACGGCCAAGGGGGGCTGGTTCGGTGATGGTTGAGGGAGGAGAGTGAGAGTGACGAGAGAGTGAGGGGCGGTTGGTTGGTGGTGGTGCAAGGCGAGATGGCGGATGGCGGTGGCGCGCGGTGACGGCTCCTCCGGCGGCGGCGGCTCACGGCCGAGCAAGGAGGAGAGAGAAGAGAATGGCGTGGGGGAGGGGAAGGAGTGGCCGGTGATGGTGAGGAAGAAATGAGGGAGAGAGAGAGAGATTGAGAGAGAGTGTATAGGCTTGGCTTAGTGGGAGTGGTTGAACAACTTCCTAAAAATTACCATCTTGCCCTCACATCAATGGCTAGGATTAAGTCTTGAACAAAAATCTAGGGGCAATCTTGGCCAAGGATTTTCGGCACTCAAGGGGGCTGAAATTGTCCAAAATGTCCCCCAATAATTCTCCAAAATTCGGAATTATCACTTAGGGGTCCAGGGGCAAAACGGTAATTTTCTGGTCCCGGTCCAAATTTCCAATTTTCGACTCTACCGATCCCAAATATAATTGGCCACACTTATACGATGTTGTCCTCGCAAAATAGTCACGTACGTCCACGAAATTCGACATCGAAGTCCGGACTCAATTCCACGATCGATTTCGCTCAAATGCGGTTTTAGCGTCTCTCACTAACGGGCGGCTATTTAGGGGTTATGCGTATCGACCTAAGGTTACTCGAGTCGTGACGGTCTCAACTTCCAAGAGAAATCGAGGATTTATCGCTAGTTCCGAGGGTCGCGATCGTTCGGAAAAAGTTCGGGATCGTTCGCCACGCGTACTCTCGGTCGTGCGGAATCACCCGCGATCCGATCATACGTCGCTGGCCAAACCAAATCCGTCACTCTCCTTGGACTGGCCCACATTGGCACAAAATATTCCCTCGTCGCTACTCGGAATCGGACCCGATTCACGGTCGAGTTCTTGGGTCCACGTACCGTTTTCCTAGTTAGCCATTCCCTATTGGTCAGTATCCCGAGAATGATCAGTTCTGCGCGAGGCTTACTAAAACGAAATGAGAAATACATATCCATTTCATTGATCACGAAAGTGGGTCGAATTCAGGACATTACACCGGTGACCCGCTAGAGGCTGGGGCTGGCAAGGATGAGCCCTCGCCACATCTAGCGAGGTCGGCCTCGCCTAACCTCACCGTTACTGGGCGAGGCTTGTCCTCGCCCAGTCATGGCGCAATAGCGAGGTCGGGCTAGGCCGACCTCGCCAGATCTGGCGAGGCTCGTCCTCGCCCAGCAACAGCGCAATGAGGATGAGCCTCGCTAGTGACGGCGAGGACTAGCGAGGTCTCATCCTCGCCGTTGCGCCGTTGTGCTGTTGCTGGGCGAGGTCGGGCGAGGCCAACCTCATAGGCCCTAGCCTCTAGCCGGTCACCGGACCTTTAACAGGCTAGAGGTTGAAGATGAAGGGAGAAAAAAACAAGAAAGTGAAAGAAAAGAAAAAAAAGGAAAAATTAATAACAAAATTTCACAAAATAAAAAAAATTATTTAAAAATTGCCACGTCAACATTGACCAGACGATTGGTGCCGGCCGGCATCCACATCAACACCGACCGGCCAAAATTCGCGGGATAGACGGAATTGACACAAATGCAAAAGATTTAGAACTGAATTGGTACAAAAAAAGTTTTATGACTAAATTGGCACAATTGCAATAGGTTTATGACTGTTTTGGTAATTTTCCCCCACATATTTTGAAATCCTTTATAGTTTAGTTGACACTTTAGTATAAAAAATATTAAGTTCTCAATTACATAATAGATAAAGATATCATTCTACTAGGGACTGTGTTTGGATAATTGAGCAAAAAGTCTTATGCAAGTTAAAAGCGTTTGATTTGTTGAGACGAAAATGGATTGTCATGGACGAGAAAAACAATACTTTGAAAGAGACAAAAAAGGAACTTTTTAATTACCCTCTATCGGGGGTTACTATAAAAGTTTCTCCCTCATTGATTAGGACATGTGAATGGAAGTGCCGTCCCATGAACTTATCCAGTCATGATTTATTATTTTTCTTTTTTGTATTTGTCACTAGTTATTTTCGAGGAATCCACATCATGCTGACCCTTTAATTCTTTCTTAATACGAATTATATGTCAATGGCTATGATGACATCCCCCCATTTCCCAAACTCTCAGTTGCAAGGCATGCGCTCCCGTTATTAGATCGTACACAACACACTATGCAATTGGATAGAGTTTTCCATTTTTCAAGTGTTATTGCTATAAAGAAAAAAATAGGGAAATTCCCAACGCTATGAGTGCGGTTATCAGATGGGACACACTAGATGTTGCGCTTCAAAAATACATAAAATTCTGATATATCATTTAGAATCCGTTCGTTTCATGAAGAACAACTTTCAGGAAAACACTTTCCGAATTTTTTGACCTTCAGTTTACGGAAAATAAACTAATCAAGGAAAATATTTCTGCCAATGGAAAAAACACACTCAAAAGTGGCTAAAATGTTTTTTTCTTTCACCTCACTTTCTTTCACCAAAAATATTTTCCTTTTATTATTTTTTTCTTTTTTTTAAATATCGGTTTTTTTAATTATTTTTATTTTTTTCCTTTTCTTTCTTTTTCCTTTATCTTCTTCATTAGCAACTGGCCGTGATTGGCCACAAGCCGGCGAGCTCGAGCCTCGCCGGATTTGGTGAGGCGAGGCTCGAGCTCACCACCTTGGGCGAGAGAGGCCAAGCCTCGCTTGTGGTTGGTCGCTGGCTGTCATCGTGGCCGGCGATTGATAGAGGTAAAAAGAAAAGGAAAAAAAAGAAGAGAGAAAAAAAGAAATATAAAAATTATTCAAAAATCCAAAAATAATAAAAAATTTGATTTTTTAAATAAAATAAACTATAAAATATTAAAATATTAAAAGGACCTCAAGGAGGAAAATAAAATCAGATTTTACATACCTAACGACGGAAAATATTTTTCATTTCATTTTCATGTTTTGGTCGAACAATAGAAAATATTGTTATTTTCCTAGACAATGGCTTCTCGAAAAATATTTTTCAAAAATGTCACATTTTCTATGAAACGAATAGATTCTTAGTCAATGAATAGCTAAGGATTGAAATGACACACTATGGTTCCAAAAACGGACAAATTAAATCTATTTTGCACCCGATCCTTTTCCCTCATAAAAAGAATGGCAAGGAGCAACCAGCACTAACGATCTTCGTTGAGTTATATCATAAGAGTTTTACACTTACTATGGAATGTTTAGTTCGAGTCATAATTACTCCGCAACACCTGCAATCCGATGATTTGAGGTTTGCTGTTGTTACCAAGTAAAAATCTTTCGAAACGAGTTATGCTGTTGTTTGGTTATACAATACCCAACGAGTACAGAGTGAGGTTGAAGTTGATGTTTAAGACTGAGTCCCAAGTTTGATGCGCACCTTCCACCTCCCATTTTTATTTACTTCGCCGACCAACCGCCATTTTTATGTGATTGGGCGCTTGTTGCGAGTTATTTTCCCGGAATCCACATCATGCAGACTCCTTATTCTTTCTTAATGCGAATTATATATCTATGCTTATGATGACGTCCCCACCATTTCCATAATTCTCTATTGAGGAAGGAGGAAAATGGGACCTGGAAGTGCCGTCCCTTTGGACTTAATTGGTGACTTATAGTTTAATAGCCTCTTTTCCACTAGTCTCTTGCTCATCCATAAATCCTTCGAAATCCCATCGATTAGACACAACTCTTACATTTCTCTCCTCATTATTGCACTCGATCAGTATACTTTAGATACTGAAGATGGAGAGGAGAGACTTATCGAATGGAACAACGGTGTCGATGACCCATAGACATGATGTCGAGTCACCACCAGAGGCTGAATTCGAGGTGTTCTTGAATTTCAGAGGAGTCGACACCCGCCATAATTTTGCCGACTGTCTCTATCACTCCATGGACGTAGCTGGAATTCGTGTATTCAGAGACGATGATGAGATAAGAAAAGGCGAAACAATCGGAGGTGAACTGGAGTGTGCAATCAAGAGCTCCTCAATTTGTATACCCATCTTCTCTAGAAACTACGTGTCCAGTGCATGGTGTCTTCGTGAGCTTGCAATCATGGTGGATTGCAGAGCAACGATCCTGCCGGTTTTCTTTGACGTGAATCCTGATGATGTCAAGCTCAAAACTGAGCTATACCACGACGCTCTGCAGAAGCACGAGCAGAAGTTTGACAGCGATGTCGTGAAGAGATGGAAGGAAGCTCTGGGGAAGGTTGCTCGGATGAAAGGATGGGATCTCAAAGATAGAGGGTAGAGTTTTGAGCTTTGCTTATCTTTTCTTTTTAAATATTGATATAGATATTAAGAACAAGAAATACTCTTCTCCTTGCATAAAAAGTTAAAACTATAAACTGTTCTCTTTTTTATCAAGTTGTGACTCAATCCACATAGTGTTAATAAGTACCCCACTACACATCCAGTTAATTAAATAATCAATCAGTTTCTTACCAAACTAGATGATTTCTCTACAAAGACATGACAAATCCAATTTGAATCGATAAATTGTTTTGCATCTTTTAAATAGAGAAAAAAATACTTTTTTTAACTTTTAAATAAATTTTATGTAGGTTAGATAAGGAAAACTTGTTCTAGCTATAATTGTTTTAATCCATGCCAAACTAGAAACAGAGCACACACCACATGTGAGCAATTAAAAAAGAGTAAACACTTCTTTCGCATATTTAAAAGAAGAAAATCCAAAGGTTTCAACTTTTACAATTTATGGATGAGGGAGCATCTTTTATTAAGTTTAAAATTCGTTTTTATCATTACAATTTACATCTTTGACCAGTGCATACAACATATAATTGCAATTCAGTTTAAGTAAATTCACACGGATTTTGATTTTTTTTTTTAAACAAGAGTTAGACCTGGAAAGTATATTTGAGACTAGACATATATAATGATTTTTATTTTTCCCCCGGGAGGGGGGAGGGGGTGCGGGGTTGTAATTTACTCGTAGTTATACAATATTTTTTTAGTAGGGAGCTGGTCGCTCGCCTCTCCCTCTCCCGTTGCCGGTTTTATAATAACTAATATTGCTGGGTTTATTTTTGAGCATGATAGGTACCATGGTGAACTCATTAGATCAATCGTTGCTGAGGTTTTGAACAAGCTGGATAAAAGAGACAAAAATCTGCCCGATCATTTGGTCGGAATTCAGGATTGTGTTGAAGAGGTCATGCGCTTGTTAGATGAAGGTTCTCATGATGTGCGTTATCTAGTAATCCACGGTATGGGGGGCATCGGTAAGACGACTCTTGCCAAAGTTGTCTTTAACCAAATTTATAGTCGGTTTGATGGATGCAGCTTCCTTTCTGATGTTCGAGAAGCTTCAAAAGCTGGCAAAGTCGTTCAATTGCAAAAACAATTATTGTCAGATATTCTCAACTTCAAAGCAATAGAGATTTCTGACTCTGATAAAGGGATTAACCAGATTAAAAGGAGACTCCATCATAAGAAAGTCCTTATCGTTCTTGATGACCTAGATGAATGGGACCAACTCTCAAAACTTGCAGAAAAGCATGATTGGTTTGGTCTAGGGAGCAGAATTATGATTACAACGAGGGACATCAACTTTCTGCCTATCGAAGAGGAGAACCGAGAAAATGGTGTCCAAACGCATTTTGAAGAGTTTAAAATCTATCAAAAGAGAGAATTGTCCCATCGCCATGCTCTTCAGCTTTTTAGTAAGCATGCCTTTAGAATGGATTCTCCTCCACATGATTATTATCATATTTCTCGTGATATTATTTGTAAAACCGGTAGACTTCCTTTGGCTCTTGAGGTCATCGGTTCCTCTCTTTGTGGCAAAAGTAAACCACTTTGGAATGCCACGTTGAAGAAATTAGATTTTGTTCCCATTCAAAATGTCCATCACAAATTAAAGATTAGTTTTGACATGCTGGAGGATGCACAGAAAGAAATATTTCTTGATACTGCATGTTACTTTATCGGTGAAGAAAATATCCATCCACATTATATGTGGAAAGCGTCGGTTATTTCCCCAAAAGTTGAGATCTTTGTCCTTTCACGTATGTCTTTGATAAAGGTTGATGGTAATGATAGATTGTCTATGCATAACCTGCTCAAAGACCTTGGAAGAGAAATTATTCGACAAGAAGACAAAGTTCTTGAGAAGCGTAGTAGACTATGGTCTCCCAAGGATTCGTTGGACGTATTGCAGAATAGAAAGGTACATTTTATTCACAACTACTGTCTTCCCAATCAAGGAAACATCAACTCAAAATATAAAATATATTTTTAATGTGTTCTTTTGTCTGTGTTGTGCATTGTAGAAAACTTAATTTGTTAATTATGAGTAAATTGAAGGTGTCCTAATTTATATCCGTTGGTTTTTGGTCTGATATCAATGTTTTATTGCGGAAACATGGTTTTGATATCACTATTTAGTTTGTGGTTTAATGTGCATGTGTGTATGTGTATGGGATATATTTGGAAGAGGATGACAAGAGAATAAGGTAAGACTCAGTAAGAGAACTTTAAGGATACAGACAACGGAATAAGAAGAAATATAGTTTCATTATTTCACTGAAGTAGTTTTACTGCTCCCCACACAACTACAGGAACGTTTCTAAGCTCTATTCATAGTTTTATTCTCCGCCGAGTTGTGCTGAGATGTTTTGTTTTTCCTTTTAGATTTACAAGCATACATAGACTTATATCCAAGATATTTTGTTGCCTTTGCAGAGAAGGAGGGGTCTAGATGCTTCTTGAAAATGGATCACTTATTTTAACAATATCTAGCAAATGATATTTATACCTTAAATTAACAATCCGAAAGTTGAAGCAAACACAACAGTTTACTTATAGAATGAGTCTATGCAATATTTACTCACGGAATGCGCTTTTTGTCTTCACCAAAGTTCACTTACGCCTTTTCATGTTATCAGGGAACAGAGAACATCATAGCACTCAAATTAACCGGACTTCCAAAAGAGCACAACTTTACAAGTGAAGAGTTTTCATGGCTGCCTAACTTAAAGTTGTTGGAATTAGAGGGGGGGAACTTGAGGGGGGACTTTAACAATCTTCTCTCAAGTTTAAAATGGCTCTCTTGGTGTCGTTGCCCTTCAGACTTGCAGGCGGTCAATCTATGTTTAGGGAACTTAGTTGTACTCAAGCTTTCGGACAGCAAAATTCCAGAGAACTGGAATGGATGGGGCCCATTCTTGGTATGATTTCATATCACACATATAAGTTTGTTGCCATTTGCCTTGCCTTAGTTTTCTTATTCTAATTTGTTTCGCAGGCAAATCGTGACTTGAAAGTTTTACATCTCATGAGATGCTATCTCTTGACATCTCCCGACATCTCATCTTTCTTGAATTTGAGGATATTGGTTTTTGCTGAACATTGTCCAGAGTCGCCACAAATCGGTAGCTCTATCGATAAGCTAAAGCGCCTAAAGCGCTTGGAAATAACTGCAGCAATAGTTCAACCGTCAAAGTTTTCTCAAAGCCCCCATTTTGACCTGTGCATAGTGCCTTCTGCAATATGTCGTCTGAAGAACCTGTCAATTCTAAAGCTAGAGGGGCAGTGTATGCGAGAGCTTCATCCATCTATTGGAGACATGGCGAGCTTGATGTGCTCGTCTTTAGTGCATTGTTATCGGCTTAGAAAGCTTCCAGATTCCATTGGGAAATTGAGATTGTTGCTTGAATTGAATTTGTTCAACACAAGAATAAGAGAGTTACCAGATTCTATTGCAGATCTCAAGATGTTAGAGAAAATGAAATTAGGACGCACTCGAATAAGGGAGCTACCAAACTCAATTGGAGGACTAGAATCATTACTCGACTTAGACTTGCAGTGTACAGAGATTACAACGCTGCCTGCTTCTATTGGATATCTTAAAAGGCTGCGGCGCTTAACTATGATTTTTAGTAAGATGAGAGAGTTACCTACTTCAATTGGAGATCTCAAAATGTTGGAGCATATGAACTTGCACTCCACTCTAATAATGGAGCTACCAAACTCCATCGGAGGACTAGAATCATTGCTCCACTTAGACTTGCAGCAAACAATGATTAAAGAACTGCCTGCTTCTATTGGATATCTTAAAAGGATTAAACGCTTATATACATATGGGAGTAAGATAAGAGAGCCACAGAAGGCCATAGGGATGTTAGAGAATCTAGAAACGTTGGAATACCATGGTTCTGGAAATGTGGATATGACATGGCCTCCTCGACTTACGGCACTTCACATATTTTGTGATGATCCTCTATCTCTCCCTAGGCTTCCTTCAGGTCTTCGTCTTTTGGAATTTAACGGTGTCAAGTACCCAATAGAACAGCCACTCCTCTCCCAATTGAGATGTTTGCCCGAGTTAATACTCTGTAGATGGGAATTGAGAGAGATCGAGTTTAAACAGCTAGAGAATCTCCATCGGTTAGTTGTGAGAGGCTGTAAATCACTGGTGAGATTATCGGGTCTATCAAGTTTAGCGAAGCTGGAAAGTCTAAGTATCATGAGGTGCTCACAGCTAATCGAAATTCAAGATTTGGAAGAAATGGAATCGCTGGAGAAATTATCTATTGGGGAATGCAGCTCCATAGAAAGGTTACCGGATCTATCAAAATTACTTAAGTTGCGGAGTTTGTTCGTAAGGGACTGTAAATCACATCAAGGTTTGCCTAATTTACCAAACTCACTGGAGAAGTTAACCATTGTGAATTGGAGTTACATGAAAAGGTTACCTGATCTATCAAAACTACATAAATTGCGGAGATTGTCTATATCGCACTGTAAATCACTACAAGATTTGCCTAATTTACCAAATACATGTGGTCTCAATGTTCATGCATGCCCTAAGTTAGGCGAATCGCGTGCCTTTAGGGAATTTTGCAGCCGGTGTCGGGAATCCAACCCGCGCCTATGCTCAAGGAGCCCACCTATGTATGGTTGACGCTAGGTACGCTTTACCATTTCACTCGTACTTTGCCTTATTTTCTTCATTTTTCTTTTCCCTTCCCATTTCTTTATTTCATTGTCTCGTTTCCAACAATCGGCCAACTTTTTTTAGTTCTTCCCCTTCACTTCTAAAGATGCATATCCACATTTTTCACATTACAAAACAACTCGGTCTAATCTTCTCTAGTTTGATTAAATAAATGCGTGGCGGTGTGTAGTGCTTCATGAGAAGTTGACATTGATGCTTTCTCCACCTAATACATGGCAATTTTCTTCTATTTTTATTTCTTACGGTTAACATTTATTATTAACAAACGAAGGAATGCCACGAATTTTTCATAAAGAAATATAAGATCATGCTTCGTCATAGTGGCATTAAATGATTAGACAAAAAACTTGTCTCCACCAGGTGACGAAATTAGAGGAAAATCGTAACAAATTAAATGCAAAGAGCAAATTGAACTTAAGCAGAGGATTTTTATAACTAACATAGCATGGTCATAACAGACTCGGCATTGACGTTAAAGAGGTCAAACTCAAATTATCTAATAAAAAAAATGACTTTATGAGTAAATATCGTATTAAGATTGAAAGTCTACAATATATAAAGAGGGATAAAGGCACAAATAGATCTAAATTTAAATGGACAAGACACTTAACTGGCAAAGTGCTTTTAGAACCTAAGAGCTATCCTACTTTACCTGTGTTTACGGTGGAAATGATATTTCATTAGCATAATCATTATCAAAGTATTCGAATTTTTTTTTTACTGGGAATACAAATAAGCTTTTAATTAGAGCATACATAAATTGCATTCTTCTACTTTCCTATTATATAGTTGAAAGGATCCATCGAGGTTGTCTTGAAGTCAATTCTTGGTCTCTTATGGGGCAACTTTGACTTCTGATTTGCCTTATACTTTCACTTGTATTCGAGACTTGCCTTTATCTGATACCGAAAATCTTAAATCTTTATACACATCACATTGCCATTTAACGTTATTTTAAGTAACATGAAATTCTTTTATGAACTTTTCAAAGTCATAAGTACTTTTAAGAAGTTAAAGCAGCCGGCCCTAAAATAATTAAGAAGAATTACGTACCAAGAGAAACTAAGATGTGAGGCACAAATTTCAGGAGGCATTGTTACGTACATTGTTTTTCCAATGCTGATATTGTGTAATACACGCATGATTTATGAACATTAGAACTATTATACCCAACATGATAAAATCAAAGATAAGAGTATATTAGAAAAAAATTAGTAAATGAATCCAAATCTAGCCCCTTTTGATCTTTTTCGGTAGTCTAACACCCGTATTTTTCGTTTGGGACTCATCCGTGGAGACAAGTATCACTCCTGGGCCCCGCACATTTGGCCATTAGCTGGCTACCTTGTTTTCTTTTATTAAATTATATTATTGCACTTCTAATTTGTCCGATCGAGTTTTTGAATTTGTATACATTTTTTAATCAAGTCTCCTTATTACGAATTCCAGTCGGTTCAAGTTGACATGGTTGTCGGAATTGAAGCAGCTGATTCTCATGATGAATGGTGTCTAATGACCCTCAAGAAACAAAGGGAAGCTTCTCCATTGAGCTTAAAAGTCATCTTAAGATCTGTAAGTTACCATTCTCTTGATTTTCGTTGTTGGACAATGATTCCTCTCTCAGACATTGAGTTGGCTATGATTGATTTGATACTATCAGATTCGCGAAACCAGATTCCAGACTCTTGATCAATGTTAAATTCGGGAATACCGAATATCAGTGCTTCCAAAGACTTTTGTGGGGTATGCAATTTATATACGTCCGCTGCAATTGAATTATCGGGACTTGTGGTTTTTGTTCTCTCTCCTTATCGTCAGATGATTGTATTTGCCATCTGTGGGGTTGCAAAGATCTGGTTTATGTTCTGATTGATAGTTTTCTTTGCCATCTGTAGGGTTTTCGGACATGGACAGGAGATAAGGACTTCGCTCCTGAGGTAAAAGTCAGTCCCAAATTTTACGATCTTGTACATTTTCTCAACTTACATGACAGAAATTTACCGTGGGTTTTTAAAATAATGTGCAGTGGGATCCTCCACGTTTGGAAGAAGTAACGAAGGAGACGGTCGACTTTTATGTCTCTCTCCACTTCTTATATCTGAGCCTGAGCTAGAACTATCCACAGCCTTGCAAGAACCCTCTGTATGACGCATACATGAATGCTGATATGCTTTCAGCATCTTCTGATTTTGTCGGTTTGCTCGTTGATTTCATTTTATTGTGAATTCCGAGTCTATCACAATCCTGAAAAAAAGTGATGCATGATTATGCTTGAGATGATATTTCTATTAGACTCTGCAGATCTCCAGTTCTCTCTCGCTTGTGGTCCGTCTCTTCTTGAATTAAACCAATGGTAGGTTACCAATCATTGAAATGATTTATTTGCACTTGTGTAATTGATGCTTATCCATATATTGAAGAAAATATTCTTGCGAACATTTTGGAAGTTCAAATTTTTGTTTTGTCGCTAGTATTTTTCAGCATTATGACACATTACACATTTTTTAGGAGCGGCAATACGGAAGTCATGTTGTTCGAATGACACTTGATCCGTGCCAATATGATAGTTGCTGAAAAGATGCACTTAATATCTCTTAATTCTCGTCATGCTCTTACGAAAGGACTTGACTATTATTAGATTAAGCTTGTTGTTTAAACACTTTGGTTCGAGTTTGCGCGAAATGCATGTTTCTTGAGGGATCATGGGTTGTGAATGCAATATGTCAACACAACCCTTTAGGTAGGATTAGATCCCCACTTATATGGCAATAAGGATAGCATTCCTTACTTTAAAGGTTGTTGTATCATATAAGGATAGTTTTGCTAATTTCTGTGGGGGAAGATCGGTGTCCTCCATCGATCAATGATTTTGCACATTCATAAAAGTTTAGTTATAGTCTAATTACATTTTGCACATTTTCCTATCGTTTTATATTTCTGTACTAGTGGCGTCTTCTAAGTATACTATGCAGCACAGGGGCATTCGTTGCCTTTTCTTTTCTCTCTTCTTTTGCGGACTAAAATTAATCAATTTGGTTTACCAAAAAAAAAGATCAATTTCTCCTTTTGAGACATTCTATCAAATTACATTGAATCTTGGGCAAATGTGGGTACGCAACAAATGAGCAAACTAAGAATGACGAATTCATTTCATGTCAAGTTGGTTAGTTTGATGTTTATAGGATGAACTCTACATTATTTCTTATAAACCGACCCGATGTATGCCGATGCAAATAATGAAAGTCGTTGAAAGAGGCAAGAGAAATAATTACCATGGTAAGAGGACCATAATTACTTAAATCCGATGAGCTGCGTATGGTTATATGCAAAACACAAAGACATTAAAATATGCTAGAACTACTCTGAGGGAGAGAGAGATGTCAGTATACAAGTAGAATCTAAAAGAAAAGAAAATGAGGTTGATCTACTGTCTGTATCCTATAAAATGGACAAAATGCCTATCATCGGATTATCGCGATTCTCCTGGCAATGAGAAGCTTGTCATGTCAAGTTTCCAAAAACGCGATTGGATCGGACTTTTGACGGTACAGCTGCTTGTACCAAACGAACTCCAATCAATCTCTGTCCAGCTTGAAGCAAAGTGAACTTATCATGGCCGACTCAGCCTTAGTCCGGTTTAAGATTGTCCCAATCGTCAAGTTCCAAATCAAGCCAGAGATTGGCAAGATCGACACTAGGAGCCTATTGAGATGTTACCAACCAAAAAATCTCTTCACTCGAAATATGGTGCTGTTAGGTAAGGCAACACGCAATGACTACAGAATGAGGTTGAAGTTGAATGGTGGGTTTTGGTCCGGTGAAGAAATGAGTCAATGTTAGGTAAGTCCCAAGTTTGATGCCCACCTCCCACGATCCGTTGTCCATTTTGTGTTTGCCACTTGTGATTGGGTGTTTCTTGTAAGTTATCTCCAAGGAATCCACATCACTCAGACTCCTTGCACTTTCTTAATACGAATTAATTATTTATGCCTATGATGACGCCCCCATCATTTCCAAATCTATCTCTCAAGGAATATTTCACGAATCTAGAAATAGCCCATCTTAAGGCTATCTACTCTCTGCATAATCCACAAACATAAAGACAGTTGTTACACTTTGAAAATAGTGAGGAAATGTACATTAAGACACTTGTTTGCACTGTGCACATATGCTGTATGTTATTTACTTGCTCTCTTTTATGTCTATGACGTTATGTTTTGGACTTATGCTAATTGTTTTGTTTATTATTTTTTATCTTTGCGAGAAAATTCTCCTTGGTTAGCATGCTCACGTTGTTGTAATTATCCAGTTAATCCCCTCTTGACTGCCTTTATGCAATCATCCTATTGTTTATTTCCCTTTTCATTTGCAATCTTATACGTTTTTTTTTGCTAGAAATTAAACTTTATACTGCAAACAAAGCGATTACAAAAAGGAAGCATTACCTACACTAGAGCGAAATATAAAAGAAGACTCTACTAGTACAATATTTTTAACTCTAGAAGGGAGATCAGGGTAAAGAAAAGAGGATGTGGTGCCTATATGATTAGAGGCCCAATTTGCAAGTGCATGAGCAGCTCCGTTCTTGGATCTATGGATCCAGTCCAAGCTCCAACCTGGATTGTGCTGAAATTGAAAGCGAGAATCTGCAACGAAAGGTTGAATACTCCAAGGGCAAAGACCCTTTTGTTGGATGGCATCAATTAAGACCTTACAATCGCTTTCAAAGATCGCTTTTCGAATGCCCAGGGACTGAGCATAATTGCAGGCGAGAAGGAGAGCTGCTGCTTCCACTTCCATCGGCGAGTTCCAACATCCTCTCCTCGTCCAAGCTTGGACTACTAATCCGCTAGCCGATCGTGCAATGATACCTATGGCTCCTTTGTTATCTTTCCACGCGCCATCTACATTAAATTTGAGCTCTTGATCTGATGGTGGGAGCCAGG